TTTGGTGAAGAATCAGGTTTTTCATGTGAGGACGAAGCACATTGGTGTTCGTTATCACTTCGTTGGGGATGTTCTTAAAGATGGAGATGTGGAGATAATGAAGGTCCACACGAAGGATAATCCGGAGGATATGCTCACAAAGATGGTTCCGAGCAACAAGTTTGATCATTGTCGAAACTTGTTGTACATTCGTGATTGTTGAGGCCGTTGGCGGCCATTTGGATGAACTACGGGTGACTTGATCCCTTGGGAGAGGGGGTACTAGGCAACCACATTGGTGCAGCCGAATTTGGTGAGACGACGCATTGGTGCTCATGTTGGTGTCGGTTCAGTTTTGGGAATACTTCGTCGAGGTGGAGAATTGTTGGATAGCAGTATTCCTAATTTATTAGGATTCCTAATCTATTTTGGTAACATGAGGTTATTAGGATTCCTAATCTATTTTAGTAACATGAGGTTACTATGATTCCTAATTTATTTTATTTTTGGTTTTAGGATTCCTAGTTTGTTTTGGTTTTAGTTTTTCTATATATATGGAGATTAGAATCAATCATCAAAAAGAGAGAAGAGTTGTAATCAGAGATTAGAGAGACTTTTGAGCATTGTGAGAGGGCGATATTGTGAGCAAGTTGAGAGCTTTGATTGAGGGTTATTTTGTGAGTTTTGTGAGATTGTAACCACTTGTACTCTCCTTGATTTAGTGGAATCTCTCAATCCTCTCCCCGTGAACGTAGGCTATTTGCCGAACCACGTAAAATTAGTTGTCTCGCTATTTGTGTGATTTGTAATAACTTATTTAGGTTCCCTCGACAGGTCAGTCCTAGAACTGATGAGAGGAAGAGCTGATATCTCACTTGGTTAAGATATTTTGCTTAAGGTTCTTGTTTCCTTTGTGAAACAGGAATTTCTATTGCGACCTGACTCTCTTGTTGTGCTGCCGAAGTGCTGCTGAAATTTTTGCTGCGCGCAACACATCATATATTCTTAGAATTCAAATAATTCGAGATAGAAAGTCTAGAATGCTAAGTTTAAACCAAGAAAAATATTTAAGATCCGTTCTTAAAAGGTTTGGAATGAAGAATTCCAATCCGACGCCAACTCCGTTGGTTATGGGAAAGAGATTATGTAGCAAAGCCCTGGAGAGGGGCAGAAGCCATTAGATGTTCCTTATGCTGAAGCAATTGGTAGCTTGATGTATGCAATATTGTGCACCAGACTTGATATAGCTTATGCTGTGAGTCTAGTCAGACGATATCAAAATAATCCACGATCAGCACATTGGGAAACTATTAAAAGGATTATGAAGTATATCAGAGGTACATTGACTCATAGATTAGTTTATCAAGCTGACTCGCTTGAACTCCTTAGACGGTTTTTTATTGATCTTGATCTCAATTTGTTAGAAGGACCTATTGATATTTATTGTGATAGTTAAGCAGCAATTAGCTTAATCAATAGTGACACAAATAGCTCCAAAGGAAAATATATTGAGATCCAGTATCACTATATTCGAGATATTGTAGAAAAGGGAGAAGTTAAAGTGACTTATATCTCTACTACACATATGATTGTTGATCCTTTGACAAAATGAATACCAATGGAATTTTTTTATCAAACATGTAAGTTTGATGTGAGTTAGGAATAAATAAGTCCGAGTAAAATTTCAAGAATAATAAAATGAGAGTTACTCTCTACGGACAGCGGGAGTAATGATAAGAAGAAACATCTGATCTCATGGATAGTGGGAGGCATGTCATTTAGTTAATTTGGTCAAGTGGGAGATGTTATCTTGACTCAGTAAAATATGACCAAATCAGCTTTTCTCAGTAGAGAAAATCGTGAAAAATTTGAACGTGGGTTTTATTGAGAGAATATCTCTCAAGAGGCGGATCTGAGGGGGGTGGAGATAGTGGGTTTAGCCCCTATAAATGTAAGAGTAATCTCCTTGAGAATATACAACATAAATAAAAGAAATATCAAACTCCTCATCCATTACCGGAGCCCCCCTCAAAGAAATCCATCGCTCCTCTGCTTTCGATTAGGAACTAGCACGTAGGAAGTGCATGGAGAGGTGGTCGAGGCCGCGGATTTCAAGGTGGTTGAGAATGAAACAACTACGGAGGAAGAGGCGCGTATGGAAATTGGCAACAAAATTAATTTTATCATGCTTCAAACCGAGGTTCTTTCGTGAATCAAGCAAATGGTAGTATCTCCTCTAATTGTCTTGATGTTGGTAACATTGTTATTACTTCTAGTTCGCTCTAAATTTGCCACACTGTTCTTCATCTAATTGAATTTTGGGGTCTCGTCCATCAACATTTGTTGGCCAACTTTGTTTCAGTCTAGGACACACTGCACTCTTTTATCCAAACCTCAACGTTCACCTTCTTCACATTTAGAAATTGCCAAATCTCAACTCGCTATTTTTTTCACATTTAAAAATTGAAATCTGACGTGGATGCAGGCACCAAAAGTTGGTATATAAAAAGATTGAGTAATTATAAAAAGCACAAGGAACTCACCTTGATCAAGATCCGAAAGTGAGAGGAAACTTTGACAACAATAGTGTCCTCAATTTTCACGAATTTGCTGGGGCTCTTTTGCAATTTTCGGTTGAAAAATCAGTCCCTTAAATCTTTAAAATCTACTATTTAGTCCTATAATTGATGTTAGTTACTTCAAATTAGTTTTCACTGTATTATCAAAACACTCTTATAAAATTACCATTTTATCCTCCAAATTATGATAAAAAATAAGAAAAATATCCGTCAAGTTTACCGTAGTTTCGTCTAGGGCTGTTTGGTTGATGTATTTCGCATTGGGGGTTGGGCAGAAAGCCTGCTAAAAAAGCACTTTTGGCAGACTTTCTGTCCAAAACGTCTCTTTTTAGACGCGTTTTGGACAGAAAACCTGAAGAGGCGTTTTGGGCAGAAAACCTGTCAAAAGTATTCTTTTGACAGGTTTTCTGCCCAACCCCAATGCTAAATACATCAATCAAACAGCCCCTAACGCGCATGATGGCTTACAGTGGGTCCTAGTGGGCTCCATTTCCCGCTCTTTCGTGGATGCAAACATTTCCCCTTTTTTTTCCTCCAATTTTTATTTTTATTTTTTATAACAATTTAAAGACGAAAGAGAGAGAGAAACTTGCGCTCCTCTTCTACGCTTATCATTGGAGAGAGAGAGAGAGAGAGAGGCGGCGATGACTACGAGCGAAACTGTAAAAAGTCCCCCTAAAATTGCTGTTTTTATTTTTTTAATTTCCTAAAATTTTCCGTTTTTGGTTACAGCGGTCGAGTTTCTCGTCGCTGGGCGAGAAACTATGCGCGGCTTGCTTTCCACTTGTAGCAATAATCGAGGTGATCGTCTTCGTCGTCTCCGACTGCTTCGATCGCCGTCGCCGGTCGCCGTCGTTCAGCCGCCGAATCAACCTCCGCGGGCTCTCTCAAGAATCCAGATGCTGTACATTATTTGTCCCCTAATTTTTTTTGATTTATTTCGTCAAAGTTTTGTTTTTTTAAAATGGTTTTTTCCCCCCTGATTTCGAAACTAGTTTCGGTGAACGAAGTGGAGGCACTGTATGAGTTGTACGAGAAGCTGAGTAGGTCCATTATTGACGACGGCCTCATCCACAAGGTACTGGGGTTGTTGTTTTTTTTTTAATTTTTTTTGGGTTAGTTGCACTTTAATACCCTGAAGTTTCATTTGGTACCTGAGGTCTAATTAATTTCCTTGAATAGTACCCAATATTTTACCCTTTTAACTTTAATACCTTCTGTTACCGTCACGGTTAAAGTTTGCATAAATTCTTTTGTTTGCTTTTGGTTAATTCTTTCTTTCAATTTAGGTGCTTTCCTTCTAATTTCAATTTCTACTGTGAATAGTGATAGAGAGCGGGTTACTTTCACTGCGCTAAGTTTCCGTATTTTTAATTGAAATGAAGAAAGAAGAGAGGGACCCGGAGTGATATCTTTTCAGTGTGAGGGTGCCACTATGCCAAAACTCCGAAACTGTGGTGGCGGTTGAGGGCTGTACTCTTTTAGTAACATGCCTCCTTTAGCAAATGGTAGTATCTCCTCTAATTGTCTTGATGTTGGTAACATTGTTATTACTTCTAGTTCGCTCTAAATTTGCCACACTGTTCTTCATCTAATTGAATTTTGGGGTCTCGTCCATCAACATTTGTTGGCCAACTTTGTTTCAGTCTAGGACACACTGCACTCTTTTATCCAAACCTCAACGTTCACCTTCTTCACATTTAGAAATTGCCAAATCTCAACTCGCTATTTTTTTCACATTTAAAAATTGAAATCTGACGTGGATGCAGGCACCAAAAGTTGGTATATAAAAAGATTGAGTAATTATAAAAAGCACAAGGAACTCACCTTGATCAAGATCCGAAAGTGAGAGGAAACTTTGACAACAATAGTGTCCTCAATTTTCACGAATTTGCTGGGGCTCTTTTGCAATTTTCGGTTGAAAAATCAGTCCCTTAAATCTTTAAAATCTACTATTTAGTCCTATAATTGATGTTAGTTACTTCAAATTAGTTTTCACTGTATTATCAAAACACTCTTATAAAATTACCATTTTATCCTCCAAATTATGATAAAAAATAAGAAAAATATCCGTCAAGTTTACCGTAGTTTCGTCTAGGGCTGTTTGGTTGATGTATTTCGCATTGGGGGTTGGGCAGAAAGCCTGCTAAAAAAGCACTTTTGGCAGACTTTCTGTCCAAAACGTCTCTTTTTAGACGCGTTTTGGACAGAAAACCTGAAGAGGCGTTTTGGGCAGAAAACCTGTCAAAAGTATTCTTTTGACAGGTTTTCTGCCCAACCCCAATGCTAAATACATCAATCAAACAGCCCCTAACGCGCATGATGGCTTACAGTGGGTCCTAGTGGGCTCCATTTCCCGCTCTTTCGTGGATGCAAACATTTCCCCTTTTTTTTCCTCCAATTTTTATTTTTATTTTTTATAACAATTTAAAGACGAAAGAGAGAGAGAAACTTGCGCTCCTCTTCTACGCTTATCATTGGAGAGAGAGAGAGAGAGAGAGGCGGCGATGACTACGAGCGAAACTGTAAAAAGTCCCCCTAAAATTGCTGTTTTTATTTTTTTAATTTCCTAAAATTTTCCGTTTTTGGTTACAGCGGTCGAGTTTCTCGTCGCTGGGCGAGAAACTATGCGCGGCTTGCTTTCCACTTGTAGCAATAATCGAGGTGATCGTCTTCGTCGTCTCCGACTGCTTCGTTCGATCGCCGGTCGCCGTCGTTCAGCCGCCGAATCAACCTCCGCGGGCTCTCTCAAGAATCCAGATGCTGTACATTATTTGTCCCCTAATTTTTTTTGATTTATTTCGTCAAAGTTTTGTTTTTTTAAAATGGTTTTTTCCCCCCTGATTTCGAAACTAGTTTCGGTGAACGAAGTGGAGGCACTGTATGAGTTGTACGAGAAGCTGAGTAGGTCCATTATTGACGACGGCCTCATCCACAAGGTACTGGGGTTGTTGTTTTTTTTTTAATTTTTTTTGGGTTAGTTGCACTTTAATACCCTGAAGTTTCATTTGGTACCTGAGGTCTAATTAATTTCCTTGAATAGTACCCAATATTTTACCCTTTTAACTTTAATACCTTCTGTTACCGTCACGGTTAAAGTTTGCATAAATTCTTTTGTTTGCTTTTGGTTAATTCTTTCTTTCAATTTAGGTGCTTTCCTTCTAATTTCAATTTCTACTGTGAATAGTGATAGAGAGCGGGTTACTTTCACTGCGCTAAGTTTCCGTATTTTTAATTGAAATGAAGAAAGAAGAGAGGGACCCGGAGTGATATCTTTTCAGTGTGAGGGTGCCACTATGCCAAAACTCCGAAACTGTGGTGGCGGTTGAGGGCTGTACTCTTTTAGTAACATGCCTCCTTTAGATATTAGCGGGCGAGCAAGATGCACGTAGGCTATTCTAGTACCATGCTAAAGGACCCTACCACTATATGAAAACTATTAGAATTCCTCACCAACTTAGATTATTCTAGAACAACTTTCTAGAACTTCTTTCTAGTAACATCCTACAAAATATCTACCATGAAGTTTCTAGGAAGATATAAGTGTATGGCTAGTATTTATTCTTCTAGAAACTTCTTAGTAATGTATGGCTAGGATTAACTCTTCTACACACTTCCTAGCCCTCTTAAACAACTATAAATAGCAGTGTTTTAAATATCGGCCGCTATGTCGGACATGGCGGCCGATATGACGGTTTTATCCCCTAGCCGCCACGATATCCTTCATTTCAATGCGTATTGCGTTTCTGAGGTCATGTCGGGGACATGTCGGAAAATATCGGGTATGTCGGGCGCCATTGCGGCCAAGAAATATCGGCCAAATTTCAGAAAAAACGGTTTTAAGTTTATTGGGCCAAGTTTGAAAAACCCGACTCGGAAATCAGGTGTCTACAATTGGTTAGTGATCCTAACATTAATAAGTTATGTACTTTTTCATATGTTTAGACAATATAATTATCAAGTATGTGAAGATTCTATTTGTGATATTATATCAACCTATCCGATATGGCAATCCGATATTTTTTTCATGTCCCCCGATATATTCCCGATTTCCACTATCCGACATGAATTTTGGCCAACCGACATGAACCCGACATCCGCCATTTAAAACATTGATAAATAGGGGTCTTGTGCTCTCATTTGGGCAAGCAAGCAAGCAAGCAAGAAGTGAGCTTGAAAGCTTGAGTGTGTAGTGTAGGCTTGTGTGAGTGTTCACCAAAATAAAAGTTGTGTGACAGTGAGGTGCTCTTGTAAGAGCAAGTATTGTACTCCCTAGTGTTCTATTAATAAAAGTTTCCTTTGTGTAGAGGGTTGTGTTCTTCAAATTCCATCAAATTGGTATCAGAGCAAGGTTCGATCTAGCCGGGCCAATCGAAGGTGCTCGTGTACGAGATGGCGAACATGATCCAGCCACAGATTCCGAAGCTGATGAAGACCAATTACGACAACTGGAGTATCCAGATGAAAGTCTTGCTCGGCTCGCAAGACTTGTGGGATCTCGTAGAGAATGGCTACACTGAACCGGAGTCACCTGCAGCAGAAGCAACTCTCACCGCCACTCAGAAGAGTGAGTTGAAGGAGGTCAGAAAAAGAGACAAAAAAGCTTTGTTCCTAATATTCCAAGGCGTAGATGAATCAGCGTTTGAGAAGATTTCCAACGCCCTGTCCTCTAAAGAAGCATGGGAGATTTTATAAAAATCCTATCAAGGTGCGGAAAGAGCCAAAAAGGTACGCCTCCAAGCATTAAGAGTTGAATTTGAAAATTTGAAGATGAAAGCTACAGAATCAATATCGGACTATTTTAGTAGAGTTCAGACAATAACTAATCAAATGAAGAGAAATGGAGAAGCAATTAGTGATGTAAGAATTATGGAGAAGATACTTAGGACTTTAGACTCTAAATTCAAATATATTATTCTGGCAATACAAGAGTCTAAAGACCTTTCTGGAGTTTCGATTGATGAGCTGCAAGGTTCTCTGCAAGCTTATGAACAAGATATAAACATTAGTTCAAATCAAGCGGAGAATCTAGAGCAAGCCTTGCAGAGTAAGATGACTATCAAAGAAGATAGTCGAAGAGGACGTGGAGGCTACAGAGGCAGAGGCTCATTTCGAGGTGGCTCAAACTTCCAGCAAGGTCGTAGGAGACAGTACCAAGGAGGCCATGAAAATCAAGATCGAAATAGAGATCGTGAACGATCATTCGATCGAGGACGAGGTCGTGGCACACGAGGACGAGGACAAGGAAGAAGTTACCATGAGGACAGATCTCAACCACAGTGTTACAAATGTAAGAGATACGGTCATCTCAGCTACGAATGTTGGGAGAAATCAAATCAAGTGACAGAAAGAAGTAACTTTGTAGAAAGGGAGCAGGCATATATTTCAACAGTCCTGCTGACATACCAGGAGAGCGAAAGCAAGAATAAAGATATCTGATATCTAGATTCAGGTGCCAGTAACCACATATGCGGCATCAAGGAGTTCTTTACCGAGCTGAATGAGACGGTACAAGGAGATGTCACTTTTGAAGATCAGTCAAAGATTCCAGTAAAAGGCAAGGGCAATATAATGATCCAGACAAAGACGGGCGAGAATAGGTACATCTCTGATGTCTACTATGTTCCAGCATTACGAAATAATATTTTGAGCCTAGGCCAGCTCCTTGAAAGAGGCTATGATATACATCTAAAAGACCTTGCCCTCACTATTAAAAATAAAAATGAAGTTATTGCAAAGGTGAACATGTCTAGAAATAGACTGTTTACCTTAAATATTCATGCTGACTCTGTCAAGTGCCTGAAGACAATCATAAAAGACGAGACTTGGCTCTGGCATCTACGATTCGGGCATCTCGCTTTCAGTGGCTTGAATCTTCTATGGAAGGAGAAAATGGTGAAAGGATTGTCGCAAATCAACCATCCGAACCAGCTATGTGAAGGCTGTATGAAGGACAAGCAACATAGAAGAAGTTTTGAAGTTAGAAAGTCAAGAAGAGCAACAGAGCTGCTACAATTGGTCCACACAGATATTGTAGGACCATTTGAAGTCGTCTCTCTTAGAGGAAACAGGTATTTTCTCACATTTATTGATGATTATAGCAGAAAAACATGGGTTTATTTCCTGAAGGAGAAATCCGAAGCTCTGGAGAAATTCAAAGAATTCAAGGAGATGGTAGAAAAGCAAAGTGGGTACCACATCAAGGTGCTCCGATCAGATCGAGGCGGAGAATACACTTCGAAGGCATTCAACAATTTCAACAAGCAGTACGGGATAATTCATCAACTCACTACCGCCTACAAACCACAGCAAAATGGCATAGCAGAGCGAAAGAATCGTACCATTCTTGATATGATCAGAAGCATGTTGAAGAGCAAGTACCTGCCGAAGACTTACTGGGCTGAAGCAGTGGACTGTGCAGTTTACCTCCTCAACCGATGTCCGACAAAGAGCATAAAGTTCAAGACACCATTAGAGATGTGGAGCAACATCATACCAAGCGTCAACCACCTGAAGGTGTTTGGGTGTATTGCTTATGCACACATCCCGGAGCAGAAAAGAAAGAAGTTAGACGATCGAGGAGAAAAGTGCATATTCATTGGGTACGAGAGGAGGACAAAAGCATACAAGCTCTACAATCAAATTACAAAGAAGATGATCATTTCAAGAGACGCAAAATTCGATGAAGAAGATTATTGGAAATGGACCGATGAAGACAAAAACATTAAAGATATATTCTTTGAAGATAATGATGATGACTTGCAGGAGGTTGGAAGACCAGAACAAAGTCCACCAAATAGTCCAGCTCCATCAACCTCAACATCGACGCCGACATCATCACCATCCAGCTCAAGTGAAGGAAGCTCTTCAGGGGGAGCAACAAGGAGGACGAGAAGCCTAAGAGATCTGTATGACGATACAGAGCCTGTCGAGATGATGGATGACTACACACTATTCTGTTTGTTTGCAGAATGTGATCCGATCAGCTATGAAGAAGCTGCTCAAGAAGACAAGTGGAGAAAAGCCATGGATGACGAGATCGAGGCAATCAAGAGAAATGACACATGGGAGCTCACTACCTTACCTGAAGGTCATAAACCAATTGGAGTAAAGTGAGTGTACAAGACAAAGACAAATCAAGATGGACGAATCGAGAAGTACAAGGCCAGGCTTGTTGCAAAAGGCTATAGTCAGCGAGAAGGAGTTGACTATGAAGAAGTGTTCGCACTAGTCGCGAGGATCGACACCATTCGACTCATTATCGCATTGGCAGCACAGAACCAGTGGAAGATCTATCAGATGGATGTGAAGTCAGCCTTTCTTAATGGCTATCTAGAAGAAGAAGTCTACATCGAGCAACCACCTGGGTACGTGATGAAGAATCAAGAAGATAAGGTCTACAAGCTGAAGAAGGCATTGTATGGACTGAAGTAAGCACCCAGAGCATGGAATGCCAGAATCGATACATACTTCCAGAAGAACGGATTCCAACAGAGTCCTTATGAGCACTCTCTCTATACCAAGAAGAAGGATGGAGACATTATGATCGTATGTCTCTACGTGGATGGCATGATCTTCATCGGCAACAATCCAAAAATGTTCGAGGAGTTCAAGAAGAACATGATCAAGGAGTTCGAGATGACTGACATTGGAGAAATGTCATACTTTCTTGGAGTACAAGTGTCACAATCAGAGAAAGGAATCTTCATCTCTCAGAAGAAGTATGCAAAGGAGATCAGAAGTCGGAGTGAAGCTGAGACGAGAATCACCAGGAAGCTTTATTGATCCAACTCTATACAAGAGCTTAGTCGGGAGCTTGCGCTACCTAACCATTACTAGGCCCGACATAGTGTTTGCGGTAGGACTGGTGAGCAGATACATGGGGAGCCAAGGCAAGAGCATTTCAAGGCAGCCAAGAGAATTCTCAGGTATGTTCGAGGAAGTATTGATCAAGGATTATTTTATACACAGTGTGCAGATTCAAGATTAGTCGGCTACACCGACAGCGATTATGGTGGAGATTTAGATGAAAGAAAGAGCACATCTGGCTACATGTTCAATATCGGATCAGCAACATTCTCATGGTCATCAAAGAAGCAGTCTATCGTCGTTCTATCAAGTTGCGAAGCAGAATACATAGCAGCATCGACATGTGCGTGTCAAGCAATATGGCTCAGGAGTCTGATGAAGGAATTGCAACACTAACAAGAAGCACCGACAGAGCTTCTCATCGACAACAAGTCAGCTATTGCACTTGTCAAAAATCCGGTAGCACATGGACGAAGCAAACACATAGAGACAATATATCATTTCATCCAGCATCAAGTTAAAAAGAAGACTGTGATCCTGACATATTGCAAGTCTGAAGACCAAATCGCTGACATCTTCACCAAGCCACTAAAGACAGACATTTTTGAAGCTTAAGAAGAAGCTTGGACTTGTGAGAAATGAAAGTTGGTGATGAGGGGGAGTATTAGAATTCCTCACCAACTTAGATTATTCTAGAACAACTTTCTAGAACTTCTTTCTAGTAACATCCTACAAAATATCTACCATGAAGTTTCTAGGAAGATACAAGTGTATGGCTAGTATTTATTCTTCTAGAAACTTCTTAGTAATGTATGGCTAGGATTAACTCTTCTACACACTTCCTAGCCCTCTTAAACAACTATAAATAGGGGTCTTGTGCTCTCATTTGGGCAAGCAAGCAAGCAAGCAAGAAGTAAGTTTGAAAGCTTGAGTGTGTAGTGTAGGCTTGTGTGAGTGTTCACCAAAATAAAAGTTGTGTGAAAGTGAGGTGCTCTTGTAAGAGTAAGTATTGTACTCCCTAGTGTTCTATTAATAAAAGTTTCCTTTGTGTAGAGGGTTGTGTTCTTCAAATTCCATCAAAAACTCTGAAGTTATAAAGATGGTTGAGAGCTATAATTTTATAGTCCAACAGAGGCTATAAAGTCTAAATATTATCATGCGATAATGATACATTGCCTTCTAAATAGATTTCTGGATGGTGATGTAACAAAAGATACTAAAGATGAAAATTCATGAAACTTTGAGGTATTATTTGGGAAACATAAACTTCCAGGGTATCGAAGTTAAAAACCGATAACAACTTTAAGGCATCAAAATGCGATTCAGCGTAGGTAGCGTCATCTGATCAAGCTATAACTGTACTAAACGTGAAACACACCTCTTGCTAACTTCCGCAGCCTGATGTTTTGAGTTAAAAACACGCTTGAATATTCTTTCCAAGTGAGCCAACAAATTGCAATGAGCGCATTATCCCATTCTTTTCTTCTACTACTTGCCATTGTATTCGAGCACCAATAACTCTGAAACTCCTCTATTGAAACTGGTTAGGAAGTCAGGATGCAAGATTGAATTTATTTTGAAGTAGGCCCAAACCGAGAGGCGAAGCGACATTCATGGAACAGATGTCATGAGGTCTCCAACATAGTTTTACAAAGAGTCTGAAGTTTTTAGTAGGATCCTAAAGGCTACATTTTTTCGGTATAAATATTGATATTCGCTCTTGCGTTGCAGGAAGAGCTACAAATGGCATTGTTCCAGACTCCATCGGGAGGAAACCTGTTTCTTGATAGAGTGAGTAAGATTTAATAGTGGTTATATGATTTACCGGATAAATTAGTTTCCATTTACTTAGAAAAAATTGTTGTTGTTCTTTTCCAGGTTTTTGATCTATTTGATGAAAAGCAAAACGGCGTTATTGACTTTGAGGAGTTCGTCCGTGCACTTACTGCCTTTCATCCTTCCTCTCCCCTAGAGGAAAAAATTAACTGTAAGAGCACAGAACACAACATAATGAGCCATTAATGCATTAGAAATATAAAGTAAAAAAATATTAGACTCACTATTTCTTTCTCCGAGTTTCTTGCAGTTACATTCAGATTATATGACTTGAGACAAACGGGGTACATCGAACGTGAAGAAGTGAGTTTATAAACATTTGCTCAATCTTTATCGGATAACGATATGGATGCTCAAGTTATATCTATGTCCTTCCCGCTAGACCTTTACACTCGTTATTCGTGTTTATCTTAATCCGCCAAACAATTTCTTTTAGTTTGATTTATATCCCTAATTTCGTTTAGTTTGTTGCTAAAAAGAGTTTGCCAATAAGATGCCTAATACGGATAGCAAATAAATGCTCGCACGGTCTACATGTCATTATTACGTTATGTGTCTTAACGAATTTGTGTGGTGTCAATAATACATTCCTATAGATAATTAAAAGAACACTCTTCTGCAAAATGTATCTCCTATTTAGGATTGTGGTCTTTGAAATTCCCCTCCAAAGCATAAGAAATTCTGTAGAGAACCACGGAAACACCACGAATAGGTTTCATATGTGTTATCCGAGCTATATCATTTGTGTTCCTGCACATACTCATTTTTTATGTCTACAGAAAACACATCACTTTTCAGTAAATCTACAAGCATACAGTTCTTCTCAGCCAAAGCCGTATTGTTCTTTTGTAACTGATATGTAGCCATACAATGGATTTTACACATGGTTTCTTCTTCATTGTACTAGGAGATCTGACATTTCATCAAAATGTATCCCCCTTAGCAAATGATGGTCAGGTCTGGCACATGGACGCAGATAGACTGACATGGGGACAACACACAAACACATGGAAAGTTACAAAAAGATCGCAATAATCATGGTCCGTTATATAATACAAGTTGTGCATGACATGACTCAGTGTTTGTGCTACATAGATGGGTTCTTTCCCCAGCAGGGTTTCTATTTTCATGAGGCTCCACTTTCTTATTTGATTTGAATGATAGATCGTGTTGCACAGAGTATGACTCCTCTTAGATGCATAAATAATGTTAGGTCTTCCTTGGTGGTTTGAAAAGTGATAACTGGTTAATTTGTAGCAACCTGAGTTGTAATGAAATGCTATATGATTTTGAAATACATTCTGATAACATTTTTACCGAAATTTAATTTGACACCGGGTGATGACAGACTGAGCATTTTGTCAGTACATTTAATGAAGAAAAATATACAAGAGATTATGTTAGATATTGGTCGTTATAACTGAAACTCCTATAAACTTGGGGGGCACTATCTACCAACTTTTTTACACCTTGGATTTGCTTTCAGATGCGTGCTGATGTCTGATGGATTTTGAGAAAAGATTGTCTTGATGTGTATGACAAACAACACATATGTCATAGCACATCCGAGGGATAAACGTGTTGATGCAAAGAGTTCTCGGTCCACTTAAGCTTACAAGATCTTTGCTCCTTGTAACTAAGAAGCATAGTGCGGCATTTAGGATATAGGTTTGTATCCCAGAAGTTGGATAATCATGAGAAAATTATCACTATGCAAAATCTTGTGATGACTGAACTATTGGTGTAATTGGTGTTCAAGGTAACTTGTAGTTTTGTAAAGTGTCTTTCGATCATTGATGGCCAAAACTTTTGGTAGGTGCAGGGAACCCAAAGTTTCATGAATGGAACTGTATTTTGGCAGATATTGGTAGGAAGTCATGTTGGACCTATGCATTTTTCTCTTTGTTCGCGTGCATAAACCCTATTGGTTCTCTGATGATTGGTAGGAGAAAAATATATATACTTGTAAATTACTCTTCACCAACTAATCATGTATGAAGTGCAAACAAGTCAATAACACAAATCTTTGCTTATTTACTGTTAGTGGCTTTAACCCAACTGATATGCAAATAGTCCCTACAAATGTGTGACGTTCACGTATCCCTCAAAAAATATATTTGGTTAATTATTGTTTTGTTGGTCAAAGCTCAAGTGATATGTAGATTGGTCCTTATCAATTATATTTGTTGTTTAGTAGGTTCAACCCAGTTAATGCTGATTGATTGTACTGCCCTATATTTGTTCTCTTGTTGTAGATAATTCCTTCTTAATATTCTGGTAAACTAAATCATAGAAAGTCTGATATATAAAACAATTCTTTAGTTGTCTCTTGTCATATCTGCATATACATAGGTAAAGCAAATGGTGATAGCGATTTTGATGGAGTCGAACATGACACTGTCAGACGAACTTCTTGAAGCCATAATTGATAAGGTATCACGATACGTTTCTTGAAACTTTGCTCGCTATTTTCAAGAACACACAATACAGACCCATTTATTCATTCTCATGCAGACATTTGAAGATGCTGATGCTGATAAGGATGGGAAAATAAACAAGGAAGAGTGGAAGGAATTTGTTATTAAACACCCTTCTCTGTTGAAGAACATGACTCTTCCTCATTTGAAGTAAGTACTAGTTTCCCTTCTTAATTTCTACACATACTATACAAGGCAGTTTATTGTAATTGATGATATTGACGTCCTGAACTTTGCATCCTTTCTTATCATTAGTTCAATTCGTTTGGCACTCGTGTTCTCGTGATCTAGTTGAAAGCACACCCTGTTAGAAACAAACAAATTAATAGTGTGAAAATATGAATAGTGAAAGAAAAAAATTGAAATATGTAGTACCCTGGAGTAATGAATTGAGTAATCTCTGGCAAAGGCTTTGATTCTCTTTTATTATTGTTATTACTATTTTTCAAAGTGATGTAAAAAGGAAATCGATATGATATTCATATTCTTTCTTATGTTTTTAGGGACGTTACAACTGTATTCCCAAGTTTCATCTTCCACACAGAGGTTGAGGACTAAAAAAACCAATGCGAAACTGATATATCCATTGAGTCGCAGAAAGTACAGAAGCATAACTGGCGTGCATGAGAAAGAGTGATGAATTTAATCTTTCAAAGGGTGACGGAGATCAGAGACTGCTATTGACCAGGTCGGGAAAATTGCCATGGTTCTCGTCAAGCTTCTCTGCTCATCTAACATGAAAGCACGGTGGGATTGAGATTGCTTAATTCTTGATTGCTCAATCCTTGATCAATGCTTAATTCTTGATTGCTTAATTCTTGATCAATGATGTTGATCAGATTGCTGCATTCTTCACAGTTCACCGCAAAATGTTACATGCGAGCTAACCTTTGCTCTTGTTACTAGATTAATCTATATATATGATTTTGATTGCTGTGTATATAATGAATATATGTGTCTTTCTCCCTCCCAATGTCAGCTGAGATTACCTTCTGAGGAAAAGGAGGAGGGGGAAAAAAATCAGAGTTACTGGTTATGTTGTCATTGTCACTTGAAACTGTAGTTTGACTGTATTGTTGATCCATAATCTTAGTTTTCTATTTTCCAATTATTTTGTTTGTGTTTATTATTTCTTGTAAAGTCTACTGGGGGACATTTTTATTTTTATTTTTCCTGACCAATATATACCCAAGTGGTGTTGGGGGCGAAACCGGACCTAGTCCTAGGGTTGTTGATGAGCATTAAATCAGCTAGGAATCAATTTTAACCAAAAAGTAATAACCACTAGGTATTGGCTTCAACTTCTATTTTTAAATTCATCAATCTTTCTAATTTTGTCTAATATGAGACTATACTTGCATATTAATAATCTCAACAACTCTCCCTTAATTTGTGGTATAATTCAATCTTCAACTACACTTTAATCTTTCATGGGATTCATTAACTTTTGCACTACTTCACTTGTTGGCTAACCAGACAATGCATTCAGCAAATGACTATCAAACATCCGTAGGATCTTTCACCACTTCACTCATGGTGGCTAACTAGACTATATCATTTGTACGATATCCGTGGACTCACTATAACCTTAGCTCTGATATCATTTGTTAGGGAAGAAATCGGACCTAATTCTAAACTTGATGGGCCATAAATAGGGGCTAGAAACCGATTTTAACCCAAAAATTATAGGCACTAGGTATTGGCTCCAACTTCTGTTTTAAATCTGTCACTCTTTCTAATCCTATCCAATATGAGATTATACTCACATATTAATAACCTCAACTTATAGGGATTAACTTCTTTCTTCCGTAAATTTCTATACTACTGATGGCTATGATCACACAGTCAGTCGGATCCAAGATAGGATCGGTTCTGCTCAGGCCCTCACCGGGATGAGATAGAGGAGATTGATGAAGGGACCGCTTCCTTCTCCGACTTTATGTCTATTTTTTAAATTGGGTAGCTAAAAAATCTGCACAAGTAAAAGTTCGTGAGAGGGCGGGGACCGATTCCCCCGTTGTACCTTCGACGATCAAGTTAGCTGGTGAGCTTGAGTGGGGAAAGTAAAAAACTGTGTGAGTTCTTGTGTGCAGTATATTTTGTTGATGGAGGAGTTTGATTTTTCTTCTTTTTTTTAGAGAAGAAGCCCCCTCCCCCCCCTCTTTTTTTAGGTTAGAATAGTATATGTCTTTATACTCAGTGCATAAGGGGTAGTTTGGACACTTTGATCGAGCACAGAAGGACGGTGACGAGGTGTGGGTTGGCAGTTGAGTCAACCTCCACTTTATGTCGACTGCCAACTGGGGAGAAGTCACTTAGGTATGGGAGAGAACGTCTCCATATTATCCGGGAAGTGATTGATAGCAGAGCAGAGCCCGTATGGTGTGACAAGTCATGTAGGCTATCAGGACTAGAATCATGATGGGACCTGTCTAGTGTGGACCGCGTTGCTGACATGCAGTTAGAAGAAGAAGAAGAAGCCCAAAGCGGGTTTTGTAATTTAGCCGAGAGGTAGCGTCTTTCGAGTAGTCCTCCCGAGGTGTCGGACGGTTGAGTGGACTCTTGGCGAGTCATTTTTAACAAGAAGACCGACTGATTCTGCTTCTCGGGTCGACATGAAAAATGCTGAGTTCTCGACGAGTTGGCTAAATTACGACTTCCGCAGGGCTTGGGCTGCCAAGTTGATTGGGGCCTTGCTTGCAGAGAGATATATGTCCATCACTTATCAATGAATTATATTTTAGTGAGTGAGAATATCATAACAGTTGGCCAATTTCTCTTGGAGGCGGCTTTAGCCGGGTCCGAGTGAAATGAAATAGGCTTTGAGCCAGTGTGAGTCTACTTAGGACGAGAACTTAAAAGTCTCTTCCAACTGATGTGGCTAACATCATTGTGTATTCCTCTAACTACCAGAGCTTTGTTTTTCTTAGCTGATGTCAGCAAGAACTTGAACCACCATATATAATTCCTGATCAACGGTCAAAATTAAATTTTGGGAGTTGAAGTGTCATGGAGTTAGTGGGAAACATTTCGATTTTTGTGTGTTGAGGCGTGAGGTGATAAAGGGGTGGCGCTTCGTGTTTCGAGTGAACCGTTTAGAAATTCTAAGGTGGATCTTATTTGGTTGTTTCGAGAACACTGCGTTCCTTTAGATCGGCCCACGTGTCTTTAAAAGAAGTTATAAATAGCTCGCTAGAGGCTGAGAAGATTTTTTTTACGAAGTCTTGCTCTGAAAAACTCTTTGGCGCTTCTCTTAGACAACATAAACTTTCAATGGCTTCTCAAGCTTTGACCATTGAACGTGATGAGGAGAAGATCACTCTTCTTTGGCTCATTAACTCGAGGATCTATATGGATGATATTGAGCAACTTTATAAGCTTTATGACATTCCCAAGACTTTCACAATAGCGGCTCCAGACAGAGGTGAGTCGGTGTATAGCCATGGCGAGAATTGCGTGCCGTTGTATCTTGCCCATTTGGAGCATGGTCTATGACTACCCCTTCATCCTTTCATTAGGGAGGTGCATGTCGCCTTAGGCGTTTCCCCTTCTCAATTCTATCCCAGTGCGGTGGGGATCTTGGTGGCCTTTTTCGTCATTTGTCACCGTGTTGGGGTTCGGCCGAGCATAAAGCTACTTGGACATCTGATCAGCGTAGAGTTGGTAGAAAAAGGACCCACACTACTTTTACCACTACAGTGGAGGTTTCTAGTTTGTCTCTGATGCTTTGGAGTCGAACAAGGACCGGAGGGAGCGGTACGTGTGGGTCTATGGTGCCAACAATGATTTCGTCTGCTTCAGTTAGCCTGAGGTGAATAGGGACACGTTGAGTCCGGTTGTCCTAAGTGCTCAGGAGAGGTGTGACTTGAAAAAATTTTGCTCCTATGCTGGGTCACGGGAGAGGAGCAACCTTTTTGACACGACGTCTCTTCGAGTGGTAGGCATGTCCATGATCTTGCCCTCTACTGGCGATCGGATGAGAGCTGGTCTTCTAGCTCTCCCCCTGATGGAGAGTCACAAAAGGGATGCATGGGACGAGGGGACATGATCCCTTGTCAGGTCCTAAAAGAAATTGAAGGGAAGCCTTGGTCCCGAGGAGGCGGCCGGCATGATGCCTCGAGCAGCCGAAATTTCTTCTCAATTGAGGGGAAGGATGAGGGCCGAGAGGAGAGCCCAAGTCAACTCAACCGTGGAGCTTCAGTCGGCTGAGAGGGGTCCGCTGGTTGCTCAAGTTAGCTGTTCAGGTAATGTAGGGCTGGTAGATGAGTCTTCTCCTGACAGGAAGATGACAGCCCCGGTAATCGAGGCTGCCAAAGTTAGGACTCAAACTGGGGATGCAGCTGGCCCCAGTTCTGTGCCCGAGCCATCTCGTCACCCCGGCAAGGAGCCTATTTGGTTAGTTGACGATGTCGAAGGGTGAGGTGGAACTCCTGATCAGATGGAGAATGGTGCTAACGAGAGGTTGGGGAGGCTCTGGCTGTGGTGCCATGATGTCTCAGAGATTACTCCTGAATCTTGGGAAGTGGCGAAGGTGATGCTTGTGGGAGTGCCATAGAGGCCTTGTTCGCCGAGAAGGGAGTTCCCCGAGAGCGATAGATTTGTGTTGAAAACATCTTTGGACGCTAAGGCTCAATCTTGGGGTCGGCTACGACATCATCCGCGGCAGTTTGCATGTTCATCCTCCCTGAGGATGAAAGAATTTAGGGGGAGTGCCAAGTGCTGGCATACATCAGGCCCTCTAAGCTTACTTAGTTCGGGGGGCACTACTGGAGCAGACATTGTTCAACCGGCTTGAACATATGTATGACTCCTCCCTGGAGTGGCGGGCAGAGCAAGCTCGAGAAAAGTTTGCCAAGGAAGAGGCAGAGAAGAGAATCGCTGTCTTGGAGGTCGAGTTGGCTCATAGAGAGGGTGCTTGGCGTCAGGAGCTGGATGAGAAAGAGTGGCTTTTGTCGAGCTGCAGAATCCAAATCTCCAAGCACTTGGGCTCTCTTGAGGATCTTCGGTAGGAGGTGTCCTAGTTGAAAGGAGAGGTCGGCCGTTTGTAGCAAGGAGTTTCTGAGCGGTACGGTCGACTGGATGCTTTAGCCATGGAGGTCAAGATCGAGAGGTGTCTGAGGGTAGCGACCGAGGGGAATGCTCGATCGAGTCTTCTCTCGGCTGAGCAGTTAGGACGAGACCTTGAGGAGCTGTCGACCCGCCCTACATCTGCGACAATGGTCAAGGACTTAAAGGGTCAGCTTGCCCAATTGAGCTCGGTACATTATAGGAAAGAGATGATCGACGGGTTGTGCCATGGTCCTCTTGGTAAAATTGAGGTAACCTTGGCTTGCAAGGCCGGCGTCGACTATCTTGCATTGCTGCTTCCCCCATCCTTCTACCTGCTTTTGATCGTCGTTACCCCCCTCGTGTATCTTGCTACCTTAACCTCCTGGAGGCAGTCGAGGTGAGTGGAGGGGGGCGAGTTTGGCATTGGATGTCGGTGGTGACGATGTGTGACGCCCCATGGTTCACACAAGACTGCAGTCCAAGGTGAAACCCGGATTGTCAAACCTGCCAAGCACCAAACACCATGCTACGACATGTTTCACCATCACAGTCACTATCTCTCTAGTGGAAATAACAAATAGGTAAAGGTACAAACAGGCAAATAATAATAGTAGTACAAAATCAGATATGCACAGAAGAAGTATATCAACAAATGAGCCCAACTGAAATAGAATAAAGATATCTCTGAGTCAGAAATACATCTCAATACAATGAGTCAAATGAAATCTCACTAAGGTACTCAGCCTTTTGTATGGTGTAAATTTGATTTCCCGAAAACAGGGAGTGTTCGTTTGTATTAATAAGAAAACTTATTACAAACTAATAATCAAATGGTTACAACAGAAGCAGAGGGAATGCCCTCTTTGTTTTGTGTGGGGACTTTAGGTGGCTATAGGACGCTTCGCTCGATGCTCGTGTCGAGTCTGCTTCTCTTGGACCGTTCGATCGAGGTTGCTGGAGAGCTTCAGTTCGCAGTAGAAGCTCGAATCGATGGAGTTCGGGTCTGCTTAGTTCGCCGGCGATCGGAGCTCGGAACTAGGCAATGGTGCTACAATGCAAAGATTATGCAGAGAGCTT